TAAAATCATTTTCATTAATGTATACATGTATGTAAAACTTTATGCAGTTTATACAACCTTGCTATCTAATATCCCTGGCATCACATCTTCTGGAATACCTTTATCTAAAACTTTCCTATGGATTTTTTGTTGCGAAAGAGGTTCTTTGCTCACCGAAGAAACAGCCTCATCGATGAGATCTTGTTTCGTCGGAATTGACACAGCCAATACATCATCTAACTTTGATCCAACTATCATGACTTTGGCACCTTAATTGTTATAAAGCAAGTAGGTAATTTTATTAATGACAAAGAGTAAATAACATATGCTTATGCAATGACAAGCTGTATGGTTATTACCTTTTGTGACTCCCAAGTTTCTAAGAGTCTGATCGTCTTTGGCTAATCCTTTAAACATAACTTTCTGCATCGCTTGTGGTACTGAGATAATTTTTTGCAAATATGTCTTTAACTCGGCAACTGTGCAATCCAAAGCAAAATTTACACTAATCTTCTGTTTGTTGTAAATCACTGTAAAGTCTACATTCTCAGTAGATGATTCTTGCAAGGTAGCATCCTGTGAGCTGTTGACATTGTTTTCACATTCCATAGTTGTTTCTTTAGTCTCTAATGCCGAATTTTCAATGGACTTTGGATTCGACGCGAGTTCTGGACAAGGAGACGAGTTGCAACAGCTGTCATTGTCGCTCTTTACAGTATCTAGGAAGACAAAAATATATCTCAATATGATAATACATCTCTTTGGCAAAAGCCTAAAATTCTTTTCTCGTGAAAATGTTGATTGCGCAGATTGTGCACAATAATTATCTCAGAGACAAATTGTTTTAATTATTGTCATATTTGTTGAATGTCAAATGAAGGTACGAATGGACGGTTAACCGGTGAAAGGTTAATCGCTTTAAAAATGGCTGTAACTTTTTAAGAAATAAATATTTCAGCAACCAAACGGCGCAAACATACGTCGTTGCATCGGAATTGAAGATAATCCGCAAATACACGCTTCCAAGTTTAGGAGCTTATTATGATATTAGAGCATCAACGTCATAAAATTATCTGACATACACAAATACACACCACACATTGATAGGGTGTTTCGACGAAATGTCGCGATTCACCTATCAGCCAGTCGAACTTGTTACGCGATCGAAAAAAAAGATGGTAAAATAGGAACAAAGAGTAATCGAACACCGAAAATTTTTACAGAAAGCACGAAAAATAAACAGGATTCAGCACGTACCCACGTACTCCATGTTGAACCGTGTTCCGTTAACCAATCAAAATTATCACAGAGAGCGTCACGCATCGTGACATCGATGACGCACGTTCTACGGAATGACTTTCGAATTTTTGAATCTCTCATCTCACTACCGCGTTTATGTATATACATATAAAAAGGTAAAAAAAAATATATATATATGTATATATATA